TTTTCAAAACTATCTCAATCGTCCTTTCAAATAGTAAGTCCAAATTTAAAAATTCCAGCTCTATCTGTTCACCAAAATCCAAGTTGTACCTGATTTGATACCATTCTGTACTTTTCTACCCATATTCCAATAATATCCCAATCCCAAGTAGTAACCGTTCACCACAGTCCAAATTGTAGCAAAAATATCTCAATTCTACACTCTGCAAAGTTTCAGGATCCCAGCCCTATCCCATTACATAGATCCAAATTGTACCATGTAGTACTTTTCGAACTTATAAATTCGAATTTCTTACACTACCTCAATCCTGCACTCCAACAGTAATTTTAATTTCAGCACTGTCCGGTCACACAAAAACAAATTGTAAACTATTTGGTATCATTTAGAACTTTTTGTTCTGATAAGTAGGAATTGCCTAACCTACCTCAAACCCACACTCCAACATAAATTTTAATTCTAAAATTCTGAGATCAAGTTCTATCCGTTCACACATAATCATATAGTACCAATTAGTACACATAAGTAATATACTTCCATATCTCAATTCTACACACCAACAGCAACCATCATTCCGAATTTCCAATACTGTCTCTATAGTATTGTACTATAGAGTCATTTTAATTTCCAATTTCAAGACTCCAGCTCTATTTGTTCATCTATATGCAACTTGTACAAAATTTAGTACCATTTAGTAGATACTTTTTGTACACTTAAGTACGACTTTTTAAAGCTACCTCAATTCTTTCAGGATTTCATCTCTATGCATTCAATTAAATGCAAATAGCACTAAATTTACTACCATTTAGAACTTTTCATACATAAAAGTACGAATTCTGTATTCCATTTAAAATGTCAAGATTCTATCTATATATGTTCAACATAATTTCAATTATAACTAATTTAAGTACTTTTCGTACACTTATAGGTTGAATTTCCAAAAACCGTTTTATACATATTACTAGCTTTCCATTTGTGACCCACATTCAAAATTTCAGAATTCGGAGGTATATTTTAGTACTTTTCGTACCCTTCTAGTTCGAAGTTGCAAAAACCTAGCCTTATCTCACGCCTACACATCAACAGCAACAACCGACACTTAAAATGTCAAGCTTCTAGCTTCTGCCGTTTCGTCTGGGCGATGATCTATCCGTGATTCACTCACTTATCACTAATCTATTTTATATATTAAGATAGAGACCGTGCTTTTACATAGGCGAAATATAAAGGTTACACCTTATTTTAGATATGACTATAAGAGAAATTTAGGGTTTTTCTGCATATGCAGCCATCTCTGGCTAAACCAGCTGATCCATCTCCGGCTAACCCAACACCAAGTTCGGTTGCAGCTTCTAATGGTAGCAGAATAGCACCGGTCCCAAACGACATCTTGACAGCATATATTTTCATTCAGGTTTCTTGGGGAATAAAAAAGGATCCGTAATTCGGGTTATGTTAAATTGTAAACAATGTACAGGTCGTATTTATGATCCGAATTGGATGAAATTTAGCACAGCTAATTTATTTAGCCCAAGGACGAACCCTATTGAAATTATGGAAAATTGGTTCCGATTTAGATATAGTGCCCCCATAAATCTTCGTTAGTTTTTATGAAGTGTACCAAAGCCCCTATATTTCATTTCATTTATTTACATATATATTATAGCATAATCAATCATTCGTTCGATTTGCAGGAAATTTTGCATGGCATACTGAATTAACCCGAATAGTGCCGTAATTATTTTTTCCGAATTGTGGGGCGAAACTTTCAGCGTCTCTAGATTGTGGGCCGCTGAATTCAAAAATTTGATTTGTATCCTTTTTTCTTATCAGGATAATCGACAGGATCAATTTTTGGGCTGTGGCCGTATGTTCACACTAGCACTACTCGGGTACAGGTGTTTTAGATTACTTATTGATCTATTATGAGTGTGACCATATGGTCAAGCTAGCACAGCTCGGTTTAAGAATCCAATTATGTGTACTAAGTTTAGCATAGATTTATTGAAATGGCATATGTACGGATAAAGATAAAAATCACATATTTTTGTTCAATTCCATGTCGATGGTTTTTTGAAAAGTCAGAATATACCCAAAGTGGTGAAGGGTACCATATAATTGGCCCAGACCGACTTTACTATTTTCCTAACTGGTTATATTACTAACTTACTGAGCTGGCTTATGACAGATAGAGTTGTACAGTTCACGAACGAACTAGTTCAAATGAACGATTCACTTAAAATACCGATTGAACTAGGTCTTTCAAAGTCGTTCTGTTTAGTTCGTTAAAAGAACGAACTGGAATAATCGTTCCTTTTACTTCAAATGTGAGCGTTTTACAGACCTAGTTCGATTTTTCTGTAAATGGAAGCGGCGCCGATCGAGTTTTATGTTGCATGTAATATTAACAGCGCTTTCACTTAGTAAACATGTAAAATATGTTGCCTATCATTTATGCTCGCAAGTAATTTTTCAATTATTCTGAAACTTTTTTTTTAAAATCCGCACCTTATACACCCCCATAAGCTGTTTCAAAATTTGTCTATATAATATCCTAGCCATAAAAAAAATTTTAAATTGATTTTATTCACACATCACAATCTTCCAAGAACACAAACTATCAACTGAACGATTCGGAGAACCATGAACTATTAAAAGAACAACCGAAGTAAAGCGACAGCTGAATAAAAGAGTTTAATTGTGAACGATTGAACTACTGAACTAGAAGACCGAACAAGTTCAGTCAAATGAGCTGAACTAAAAAGAGCGATCAGCTATCTGAACTAGATAGAAAAACACTAATGACAGAACGGTTGTTCCATAAGCCGAGCTTAGAAAAGATTTTCCAGGCTCGTCGGTCTTGTGCACATATCAATCAATTTGAAAGACCATTTTCCGAAATGTTGTCTTCTACTTGATCTTTCCATCGGATTCGTGTGCTTCCGCTTCTGCGTGACCATCACTTGTCTCGCTTTTATATGCCTTTTGAGCTGGGGCATCTTCATCCATTCTCACAAGATGGCCTAGCCAACGTTGTTGCTGCAGCTCGATCCGTCTGACTATGTCGATGCCCGAGAATATATGGTGTAGCTCATGGTTCATTCGACGGCGATCGGCGACAGATCGGCCCATAGATCTTCCGGAGAATTTTTCTCTCAAACACTACAAGAACTGCCTCAACTGCTAGCGCAAGTACTCATGCTTCAGATCCAAACAAAGAGTGTGAGTTTGGTCTGGCGAGAGGTGGCCTTGCTTTTCAGTTGCTTACTCCGACCATAGTAGCATCTGTTGGCCAACACTATTCTCTTCCGGATTTCAATGCTGATGTACCACTTTATATACGGTGGGAAGGAGACTTATTCCTCTATAGTTGGCACATATTATCTTGTCTCCTTTTTGTGCACGGGGCACAGGATGCTGAAGTTCCAATCATTGGGCATGCATTCCTCTAGCCAAATTGTACAAATGAGCTGGTACATGATCCTGCACAGCAACTGACCACGTCATCTCTTATTGGTTCTGGGGTATCTTCTTCACCGTCACTATTTGATACCAGAAGCTTTTCAAAATGCTCCTTCCAGATCCTCAACACGCTGTCTGTATCCGTCATCAGGTTTTCATCTGGTTATATACTTATATTTATTAAATTCTATGTATAAACCAGTGAGCGGAGCAGTATAGTCGAACGGGGCCGACCATACGATACCATACACAACTACCACGGAACTCAAATTTTCTCCGGATGTATATTCCGAGCCTGGGCAATATATCGTGATATTTGCACCCTCTTGCCCGATTAGAGGTAAATAGCACACCTTCCTCACACTGACATATTTTCCGAATATTACGAGTATTCAGTACAGCTATTGTCCAGATTCTCTTTACCGTGGGTTGTGTTGTGATGTTCGGCTTTCATTTAGGGTCTATAGATCGACTAGACTAGAAAATAACACAAAAAATTAAGTTTTCGGTCCACTTCATTCCAAAATTATTATCTGATCATCACCGAAAATTATAGGTGTTGTCCTTGACCATAACTGGAACCTCATGGAACATTTCAAAGCGATCAGCGTTATAGTTCCGCTCTCTAGAGTGATAATGGGTTACTAAATAATATACGGATACGGAGATACCTGTAAATATTTAGGTGTAACTCCCACATCCGAGCACATACAACAATATAATTGGTATTAATTTAAAGGTCAACCACTCCTCTTGGATATAATATAAACTTCTCGGATCCATGTACTTCAGGGGTAAATATATACGCTATCGAATACAAATTTTGTCATTTTTCACACAAAAATCAGGGTCCATTTGACCCGCTAAATATTGACCGATCCTTATGAAATCAGGCATGTTTATTCTTTGGCCTGATCCCCTTCTCCATGGAAAATTTCACGATGTTCGGGCCATTATTGCGGCCTCTGGAGCGACCGGAAAAACCGACAAAAATTTAGTATTTGGTCCATTTCATCCCCTAAATATTAACTGATCTTTCCCAAAAACAATAGGGGTCTTCATTGGCCGGAACCCATCCTACATGCAAAATTTCATGAAGATTGGTCCATAACTGTGGCCTGTATCGTGTTTACAAATTATAATGGACAGACGGACGGACACACATGTCTAGATCGACTCAGCTAGTCGAGATATGACGATCGGTATACCTAAAAGGTGGGTCTAGGACCAATATTTCGCGCCGTTACAAACTTTTGGGGCTGCACAAAGCTATAATACCCTGACAACATAGTTGTGTAGGGTATAAAAACGAATAATCATAGAAACCCCCAGTTGTATTATTTGAGCCTTCATTTTCAAATTACTAGTAATTTAACCACGTTTGCTAGAAGTTCCCATTCATATCAGATGAGTTGAATCATAAACATTATTTAATTTATATTTATTGAAATTATAATTATTATTAAATTATTAAAAAAAGACATGGTTAGTCAAAACAAACATTTTTTATTTTTAGTATTTATCTTCAAATATCTGACAATTTAACCACGTCGGTTAGCCTGTTTCTTAGCATTTTTCTTCTTTTGATTCTTAGCCTTGGAGTTCTTGCTACCCTTCTTGGCTGGCCTCTTGTTTTTCTGTTTCTTATTCTTTTGCTTCTTGTTTCCTTTTTTATTGTTTTTCTTTGCTGGTTTTTTGGGTTTCTTATTTCCCTTTCCTTTCTTATTGGGTTTTTTGTTAGTTGCAGGTTTTTTGGTAGGGGCAGAGGGTTTCTTGTTAGTTAACGGTTTTTTGGTAGTGGCTGAGGGTTTCTTGTTGGTTAACGGTTTTTTGGTAGTGGCTGTGGGTTTCGTGTTAGTCCCCGCTCCTACCGGTTTTGAACTGCCACTATTAGGTGTGGGAGACGGAGTTGGTGATGGGGAAGGTGTTGGTGTTGGTGCTGCTACAGCGCCGGTTGGAATAGCCGTAGATGGATCAGCTGGTGTTGCTCCAACAGCAGGTGTGGGATCCACTGGAGAGCTGGCAGCAGGTGCAGTTGGTGGTGGTGATCCCGTTGGATCTGTTGCAGCCACAAAGGCCAATAATAGGGAAAAACAAATAAGACTTAGAAATTTCATAGTTACAGCTGACGAAAAATTTCGAAGTGTATATTCGGAATGAACTGTAAGTGGTGATTGATACGAAACATCTTGAAAAATTCTGTATTTATAGTAATATTTTATTGAATCGTTTCTTGGGCAAATAAATTTGGAATTTAGTAAAGATGTGATCATATTTGTCCAGCTTTATTGAAATTTTAACTTTAAAATAAAGTTCGGCTTACGAAGAACGCACTATTTACTAATTACAAATAAATTCGATAGGTAAACATTGTCTGACGTTAACAAATGTTTTCATTTTGGTTATTAATGTTTACATTAAATGTGTCAGGGGCTGTTCTATTAAACATATGTAATAGTTGGAAAGAATACGATATTAGCCTCATAACGCACGTGTCTGGTTTACAGAATACACAAAACCCAAAATGGATGTGACTTACAACATTACGTTGTTTAGAGGTACCAGAAGAAGTGAATCGTAGGTCTATGTTTTGATATGGGGCCCATTTAGAGATCTTGACAAAATTTTGGTATTTTAAATATTGAACTGTTGTTAGTCTAGGTTCTTGGAGGGTAAACAAAAAAACTTCACACAAACTTTTACTATAGGCACCTGTTTTGACGTAACCCTCCATATAAAGATCGGGCAATATTTTCGGTATGTATCCTAAAACAAACGCTTAATTACCCAACCTGTGTAATTTGGAATTTCGTTTCGTTCAGAGTATAAAAAAAAACACTTCTAACAGACAATTGACAATGTAGATCTATGTTCTGCTGCAGTATTTGTATAGGAGTCTCCATAGATGATTTGTAGTATTTTCTACGTCCACCCTGTGGTTGAAATCTTTAGAAAATGATAAATCTAAATTTGATGGAAACATTTTCTAACCGAAGTGCCTTGGCATTTCTTGGAGAGTAAATAAAAATTTTCTCAGAAAATTTTCGACATAGTTTCATATTGTAACATAGTCTCCCTATATAAATGTCCCGCAACATTTTCGGTATGTTGCTGCTTCTAGCCGAACTTTTTCAACCTGGAAGGTTGGTATTTTATTTTAACAGAGGATACAAAAACCTCTTGACAAACACATCTCAATTTAGGTCCACATTTTAACATACCTAAGTAAGTATGTTAAAATGTCGGACCTGGCTTGTGACCGAATATTTGTTTAGTAAGCCTACCTTGTGCTTAGATCTTTCAATTTGAAAGACCATGTTCTGAAATGTTGTCTTCCACTTGATCTTCCACTTGATCCATCGAATTCGTGTGCTTCCCCTTCTGCGTGAGCCATCAGTACTCTCACTTTTATATGCCTATTGTGCTGGGGCATCCTCATCTATTCTTACAACATGACCTGGCCAACGTAGTCGCTGCAGCTTGATACATCTGACTATGTCGATTTCCGAGAATAGATGGTAATCTTTCGGAGATTTTTTCTCTCAAACACTCCAAGAGCTAACTCACTGCAGGCACAAGTACCCAGCATCTTGTAGAGTGTATGTTTGGTCTGGTGAGAAGTGGCCTTGTATACTTAGACCATAGTAGAATCTGTTGGCCAATACTATCCTTCTCCGAATTTCAAAACTAATGTCATTAGTTTTGTTTATGGCGCTACCGAGGTACAGGGTTGCCCATATTCGACGGACCGATGTTTTTTTAAAAAATCAAAGAAAAAATAAAAATTTGGCGGTTGGCAATGTTAATCATTTAATTTGTTCCAAGCAGATTTGTTTACATCAATTTTTGAATATGATATCTCTCAAATGGCCGCCTCTGGCGTTGATGACGTATTGTGCCGTTTTCGCACTAACGCCGCACCAAACTGTGACTTTTTCGTCATGAAGAGGCACTTCTTGAATCTCCTGAGGATTTTCAGTGGCGTAAAAACGGCAATTTTGCTTATTTACGGACCCATTCAATGTGAAATGGGCTTCATCGGACATGATAATTTTGTTCCAAAATTGCTCGTCATCTTCGGCCATTTCGACGACTCTTTGGGCCCATTCCAATCGACGAAGCTTGTCCGCAGGCAACATTCTTTGCGTCAATTGAATTTTGTACGGGAACAAATGCAAATTAATGCGAATAATCCGTTGTAAAGTGGACTTGGGGACCGTTGTTAAGTGGACTTGGGGACACTGGCTCGTACGGCAGCGATATTCTCGGCTGATCGCCTTAGTGAACTTTTATATGGCCTCTTCGGATTAGAAAGAGCCTTACCAGTCGAAAATTTTTCGTATAAACGCTTAATGGTGTTCTTAGAAGTCGCACTTCTCACATTTTTTAATGTTTTAAAAGCACGTTGATTTTTGACTTCTTCTGTTGAATTGGTTCATGGTAAAAATCTGCTTGGACTGACGCTTCAAATGCGGTATGTCATTAAGCGATGTGACATCTCTGTCAAAAGTTATGGCGTTGTCAGATAGGTCCGGCAACCCTGTATATAAAATCATTGACTACCTCGAAGCTGTAGTTGTCAAATTCCACAGTTGGTCCAAGTCTACTGGGCGTCTTGTACGTTGATACCATCAGCTTGATCCTCTCGCCATTTACTGCCAGACCCACTTTGGCAGACTCCTTCTCAATTTGTACAAAAGTGGCGGTTAGCGCTCGCAATGTTTAACCCATTATGTCGATGTCATCGGCGTAGGCGAGTAACATATTCTGCTTGGTGTACAGAGTGCCATTTCTGTCTACATTTGCATATCGTATGACCTTTTCCAGCAGGATGTTAAAAAGATCACACGACAAACTGTCACCTTGTCTAAATCCTCGTTCGGTATTGATGGGCTCCGATAGGTCTTTTCCGAATTTAACTGCTGACCTTGTGCCACTTAAAGTTATCCTGCATAGTCGTATTAATTTTGCAGGAATGTCGAATACAAACATGGCTTTAAATACCTCTAAACGGATTGGGCTGTCGAATGCGTATTTATAGTCGACGAATAGGTGAAATGTATCGACGTGTTTTCGTGGGGGTTTTCCAGGTTTTGGCGCAAAGTGAAAATCTGTTCAATGGTGGATTAGCCAGGTCTGAAGCCGCATTGGTATGGTCCAATTATGTCATTGCCCATTGGCTTCAGTCGTTCACACAGCACGCTGGATAAAACATTATATGCAATGAGATGGAGACTTATCTTACTTATCACATATATCTGTCTTTTCTCCTTTTTTGTGCACGGTATGTGTTCCAATCATGCCATGTTATATTAATCTGTTAGTGTTTACTCCAGATCAACGTCTGACCATCGATCATGAATACTTCGGCAGGTAATCCATTGGCACCTACTGTTTTACTATTCCTTAGCCGAATAATTTCTATTCTGACCTCATCATGGCTAGGTGGTATACACTCTATACCGTCATCTCTTATTGATTCTGGGATATCTTCTTCACAGCCACTATTTGATACCAGAAGCTGTGCAAAATCCTGTACGTCTCGATTTTATAGCGCTCACGTTTTTCTCATTATTTCTTCTTTATTTCCATATTTTATTTATTTATTATTTTTTATTTTATTTAAAATTCAATCCTGCCGAACTTATCATATCATTTGTATACCTTCCCCATAGCATTTATTGTCTCTAGTCGGATGAAGTTTAATGATGGGCTAGTTCGCTACACGTTTAGACAAAGCCCCCCATATAAAGGTACCCCCGAAATATATTCTGGATCTGAATAAAATTCTATTTCGATTTATGCATGACCGTCTGTTGAAATCACGATAGATAGATATTTATGATAGACCTCTGAAAATTTGCACAACCATTTTTATACCCTTCACCACACTGTGGTACAGGGTATTATGTCTTTGTGCATATGTTTGTCACAGGCAAAAGGAAACGAGATAGACCCATGGTTCCTTTTGAGAATATGCATAGAATCACTTTTTAAGTCGATTTAAGCATGTCCGTCTGTCTGTCTGTCTGTCCATGTATTTTTGTGAGCAAAGTACAGGTCGCATTTATGATTCGAATTGAATAAAATTTGGCACAGCTCATTTGTTTGGCCCAAGGACGAACCCTATTGAAATTGGGAAAAATCGGTTCAGATTTAGATATAGCTCCCATATATATCTTCGTCCGATTTAATGTAAATGGTGTACCAAAGTCCCTATATATCTTTCGATTTTCATGAAATTTGGTATAACGTACTGAATTGAGCCTAGAATGATGTCTGCCAAGTTTCGTGAAAATTGGTCCAGATTTAGATATAGCTCCCATATATAGTTTCGTCCGATTTCATGTAAATTGTGCACCAAAGACCCTATATATCTTTCGATTTGCACGAAATTTGGCATAACGTACTGAATTGAGCCTAGAGTGATGTCTGCCAAGTTTCGTGAAAATCGGTCCAGATTTAGATATAGCTCCCATATATAGTTTCGTCCGATATCATGTAAATTGTGCACCAAAGACCCTATATATCTTTCGATTTGCACGAAATTTGACATAACGTACTGAATTGAGCCTCGAGTGATGTCTGCCAAGTTTGGAGAAAATCGGTATAGATTTAGATATAGCTCCCATATATAGTTTTGTCCGATTTCTGTATATGGTGCAGCAAAGTCCCTATATATCTTTCGATTTGCACGAAATTTGGCATAACGTACTGAATTTAGCCTAGAGTGATGTCTGCCAAGTTTCGTGAAAATCGGTCCAGATTTAGATATAGCTCCCATATATAGTTTCATCCGATTTTATGTATATGATGCACCAAAGTCCCTATATATCTTTCGACTTACACGAAATTTGGCATAACGTACTTAATTGAGCCTAGAGTGCTTTACGCGATGTTTTGTGAAAATCGGTCCAGAATTAGATAAAGCTTCCATATATAGTTTCGTCCGATTTCATGTATATGGTGCACCAAAGTCCCTATAAATCTTTAGATTTGCACGAAATTTGGTATAGCATACTGGATTGAGCCTGGAATGATGAGTGCTGAGTTTCGTGAAAATCGGTTCAGATTAAGATGTATATATTTCCGTCAGATTTAATGTAGGTAATGTACC